GAACGAGGGGAGGTAAAGACCAGACAGGGTGCCAGAGGGGGCCGCCGGACACGGGAGGACAATGGAGTAGTGAGCAAGGACAGGACCCCCAGAGGGGTCTGCCAGAGAGACTGCAACTGGCCGGCCAAGCGGCGTGAGTGTGGTGCTGTCTCGAAAGAAGGAGCGAGAAGCTCCCGAATCAAGGGTGAAGGTGTGGGAGGCCGAAGCCGACGCAGTACCTGAGAGAGCATACTCACCAGCACCTGAGGGAGCAGACGCACGAGCACCTAGAGCAGTAGCCTCGCTAGCACCTAGAGCAGCAGCCTGACCAGTACCTAAAGCAGCAGTCCCAATACCCAGGTCAGGCGAAAAACACCGGTAGCAGTCACCCTCAGTCACCCTAGTCACAGCAAACATGGCAGGAAGAATAGCATCAAAGTCAAGGTCAAAGACAGCAACTCCCGCCCTAGAAACCTCACCCCAGCGGGGGATCTCAGTGGCCTCCGGGAACTGGTGACGCCAAGCGTCTGTCAGGCGGCCAAAGCAGCGCTAGGTGGAGTGCGCACCCCCGCACTGCTCACCTAGCGGTCGCCAGTGCGTAGGACGTAGGTGCACGGACCAGTACCCCCACCCCGCTGGCATGCAGCGTACCACTCACGGAGCTGCTAAGGGGGGGGGATGTCACGAGTGCGCTGCTCGTGCTGCTGTTGGCGCTGACCACCACCCGAGCTTACCCTCTGTGCAGCGCCACCCCGACCACCTCCACCTCCACCGTCACCGCCTCCTCCACCGCCGCCACCTCCGCCACCTCTGCTCCCACCGCCACCGCCGCCGCCGCCTCCGCCTCCACTGCCGCCACCGACACCTCCACCCCCGCCACCACCCCCATCGCCACCCCCACCCCCTCGACCGCCTCCACCGCCTCCTCCACCGCCCCCGCTAGCTCCTCCAGCGCCCCTGGCCCCCTTGCCCTTGCCAGGGCAGCGTCTCCCGCTAGGGATAGACACCGCACTGACCGACTCAAGCCCAACGAGGTCGGCCGCAGCAATAGAGGCAACAGAGGGCAAAAGCGGGGAGGGAGAACACCCCTCAAAGATGGGGGTGCGAGGGTCACCACGAGAGGCTCCTACAGCGACTATGCTCTTCTCGGATGCTAGGAGGGCCTTCTCGAGGAGGTCAACGGTGAGAGTGGTGGGGCAAACTGAGAGGAAGTGGTCCCTGACTACGCGAAGGGAGTCAGGGAGGCGGGTGACGATGTAGTAGAGAGTGATATACATGGGGGGGGGGGTTCTTGGCGCAAAACTCAGCAGGAAGCGCAGCGCGGTAGCGAGTGTCACTAGTGCGGAGGTGCGTAATGAGGTCAGCAACTGTGGGAAAGGCAGCAAGGTCAAGGAAGAGGTATGGTAGCATGAGGCGGCTCAGTGCAGCAGTGGCAGGGGAGGAGTAGCGTGCAACTACAGCGTCGTACAGGGTCTGGGCACTCTTGTACTGGCTAAAGTGCGCACGCTGAGAGGTAGGCAGGTGGCGATGCACAGCAAGACGTGCAGCAGCATCGCGTGTGGCCCACTGTGAGCGAACAGTGGTGTCAGCATCAGCAGCAGGGGCAGGAGAGGCACCAGAGGTGAGGTCAAAGAGGGAGAGACCGTATGCCCTATCGCACTGTAGGAAAAGCTGTAGGTCATCTACCCAGACGTCAATGGCCCAACCCTCAGCGTCAAAAGCGAGGACACTAGGGGTAGCCATGACAGTAGTAGACTAGTAGCGCAAACAGTGGGGTAAGGGCAGTGCAATGACAGAGGCGCTGCTCTTACTGGACAGGGCGGCTCGGGCGGCTCGACAGGAACTGCTGCTCGGTGGCTCGGCGACTCGGCGGCTCGGGCGGCTCGGGCGGCTCGGCGGCAACTGCGGCTCGGGCGGCTCGGGCGGCGCGGGCGGCTTGGGCGGCTCGGCGGCTCGGGCGGCTCGGGCGGCTCGGCGGCTCGGGTGGCTCGCGCGGCTCGGTGACTCGGCGGTACGGCGGCTTGGGCGGCTCCGGAGGTGCAGTGGCTCGGGCGGCTTGGGTGGCGTTGGCGGCTCGGCAGTAGCCCGGCGGGGCCGCATGAAGGCGGGGCCGGGGCCGGGAACGGCGGGCTACGGGGCCAGTAGAGGCTGGGCCGGGGCCGGGGCCGGGAAGGGCAGTGCCGGGGCCGAGAAGGGCGGCGTCGGGGCCGCAGAGGTAGGCGACGGGGCCAGCAGAGGCGGGGCAGGGCTGGGAAGGGCAGCGTCGGGGCCGCAAGGTAGGCGACGGGGTCAGCAGAGGCTGGGCCTGGTCGGGAAGGGCGGCGTCGGGGTCGAGAAAAGGCGGCGCCGGGGCCGCGGGGTAGTCGACGGGGCTGCAGAGCGGCGGAGCGGGGCCGAGAAGGGCGCCGTTTGGGCCGAGGGGTAGGCGACGGGGTCGCTAGGGCGGCAGATCGGGGTCGGGAAGGGCGGCGCCGGGGCCGCAGGAGTAGGCGACGCGGCCGCTAGGGCAGCGGATCGGGGCCGCTAGGGCGGCGGGACGCAGCCGCTAGGGCGGCGCGACGGGATGGGGCCGCGAGGGCGACGCGACGGGGCCTCTAGCGCGACGCGACGGGGCTTCTAGCCGAAGCGACGGGGCCGCTAAGGCGGCGCGAGAGGGTCGAGAGAGGGGAGTGCGACTCGGGCAGGAACTTAGCGCGCTCCGAGCAGGAAAAAAAAAAATCGAATTGGTGGGCCCTAGGAACAGTTCCCACGAGGGAACCTGCTTGATACCATGAGAAAACTAGAACGAGAATGAATGCACTATGAAAGAGTTGGGTACAAGTACTAACCCTAATTGGGTTGTACCCCATATGGGCTACCTCACTACAGCCTACACAAAAGCATAAGCTATATGTTCTAACAGCGGATGGTTATTTCAGTGATAGGTTCTATGAGACGAACCTAATGGCGTGTAAAGTCGTGCCACAACAATTTTGGGGAAAATCCGTCGGGCCGTTGTTGGCGAAAGTAACCCTTTTACGACACTTGCCGTGTTTTGGGCGAAGCTCGTTAATTTCGCGAAATCGAGAAATGTTTGATGGCCGTTTCAGCGAACCGACACAACAACGACGCCGCGTCGACTCGCAAACGGCCACGAAGCCGACTAGTCAGTGCGACAGATGTGCCCATCGTCGCACAAGCGCCCTACGATAGAACGAGTGGTTGTGTCACTACGGGAGTCAAATGTGCGACTGGGTCGCAAAGTGGCTGGTTTGTGCGAGGCTGCAAATTTGACATGTTTGTTCATGCGGCCCGCAAATCAGCCTGCAAACTTGTCAAGTCTACAAAATGGCAAGTACAGGCCGTTTTGGTGGGCAACCAAATGTCGACCAAGTGGTCGTTGTTCGCGAAAGAAATAACGACCAAAAAGTCGTCGGATTTCCAGCCATTTGCAAATTTCGCAAATGGTGCGCGACTTTACACACCCTAATAACGATGAAGGATGAGGTCTATGAATATCCTCTATGAAGATCCTGTGTACACTGAGATGGGAAAATTGGAGGAGTTATCGACTGAGGAGGAAGAGAGTGAGGACCAGAATGATACGGCAGCAAGTTGGAGGCAACACTGAGGTGGGAAAAGTAGATAGTTACAATGGAGACTACAGCTGTGAATGGTGGATATGGAGTCGGTGTCAATACTTTCGTAGCAGCGATCGTAGTTGAAGATGAAGCAGAAGACTTATGCAATTAAGTGGTTGGATCATTACAGTAGTATTGTAGTACTATTATATATGCATGTTATTGTAGCATGTGTCTAGTACTATTATATATGCATGTTATTGTAGCATGTGTCTAGTACTATTATATATACATGTTATTGTAGCATGTGTTGATTCGCATGGGTTACAAGTAGTAGCGAGAACATTCTCGTGACTGTTCGCATAACACAGGAAAGTATCGATTCGGGAATCAATTTGATAAATAACACAGTTCACGAATATGTACCGTACATTACCGAACAGGTACTCTACTCTGCTGGACTACATCATTCTTGTACTTCTTCATTACGATCAATTCTTGTTCTCGCATTCAACGAGCAGAGAAACTTACAGACTTCTTGTTGTCACTAAACTCAAGGATTCTAAGGCAATTTCAGTCCAATAGCATTCAGACCGTATTTTTCTCCTAAAAGAGAACCGGTAGGGCTGCTCATACTTATTGCGTGACATCTGATTAGTTTCTTGTATAACGAACTGTAGCTTAGATGAAAACGATCGCATCTTTATCTCCTAGCGCGTTTCGCTAATTTCGCGTGCCGCCGGTGTTTCGTCTGGAAGGTTCATTGCATTATTCCACCCCCTCATTATTACACCTCAGGACTTGGTCAATGTTGTCCAAGTGGGGTCGTATGCTGGAACTCGAAGTGGGTAACCCTCTCTTCTAAACTCGGTTTGGGGCCGGGCCGCGGAATCGAACAGTCAGTAAAGGACTACGCTACTGTGATTGGACCTTCGCCAAGCTATTCCCCAGCCAGAAACTCGAGCGAAAATCGCGATGAGTAACAGAGGTGCTGATTGAGTGACTACGTTTCCTGCTTCCGTTGTGTCAGGTGAAGTATCAAGTATCGAGCTGTTACACCTCATTCACAATTTCGAGGATCAACAGCTTGAACCCAGTTTTGAACTCGAGCCCGGCCCGCATTGATCGGACCTCGAGAAACACACAATGCACCAGGCCCTTACCATTTCTGAATTTCAGGATTGCATTATCGATTTCTCGCATTATCGCACCCCTGCATTATTTCGTGATGGGATGGGGTGTGATTTATGCACAGCATGAGATTACTGGTGGCGACTCGAGCATATTTGGAACCAGTCAGTATCCGCTTCACAACCCCCAGCAGCGTAGCTAAGTCCTTGTGCCTATATTTTCCGTGTTGTAAATCCACACCGGCAGTGCAGACTGAACAGAATCGACAGTCCTACTCAACAGTTCAACAGCACCACCTTTCATAGTCAAATTCGTCACGAGACAGTCATTATGCTACTGGGATTCCTTCTCGTCCTGGCCTTAACTTGCGGGCCGCGATACAGCGAAGGAGCTCGTGGCCGGCTGCTTTCCTCCAATGAGAACGATCGACGTAAGATGCTCACCCTCGACGTTTCCTTCTTCGACCCATCCTTTGGGAGTACGCCGAGAATACTCACAAGGGTCATTGATGATCTGATTTGCACACTCGTCGAAGCGCGCCCAACGTAGGATTGCAAAGGGCAGAGCTACGAAATATCTGCAAATAGTGTTACTTTTCTGATGTGAAACCACCGTAGAATGGCTGGTCCGAAGAGCTGATTTTCCTAGGGCTTACGAGCTGCTCCCTCTTCCCGCTGTTTCTTCGCAAACTGGCAATCCGTCGACGCTCACTCATGCCTCTACAACCCCGCCAGCGCTTCACGACTGATTGCACCCCTTTCTCGCTGTTTCTTCGCAAACTGGCAATCCGTCGGCGCTCCCTCATGCCTCTACAATTCTCCCGACTTTCTTCCCCCTCACAGGCGGTCTCTCAGTCCAAGCTTCCGTCGGGCCCTCGGTTGCTGGAAACGTTGACTCTGGCGATTCGTGGGCTCACTTGCGTGTCCGAGATGGTGCTCCAGTGCAGCGACAACTGCAGCAGCAGGAGCAGCGGGATGAGAAGTTGATAAACGACGAGCAGCTTCAGGCTGCTGAGCAGGTACGCGTGGAAGTCGAGAAGCAGAGAATGCTGGCGGCAATTGGAGAGTGGAAGCCCCAGGAGAATGTGGGGAAGCAGTGGCGGCGGAATTTGCATAAACGGAGCTGGCGGAAGAAGAGCAAGAAGCAGCAGCAGCTGGCGAAGGCGGCTCAGGAGAAGGCGGCTCAGGAGAAGGCGGCTCAGGAGAAGGCGGCTCAGGAGAAGGCGGCTCAGGAGAAGGCGGCTCAGGAGAAGGCGGCTCAGGAGAAGGCGGCTCAGGAGAAGGCAGCTCAGGAGAAGGCGGCTCAGGAGAAGGCGGCTCAGGAGAAGGCGGCACAGGAGAAGGCGGCACAGGAGAAGGCGGCACAGGAGAAGGCGGCACAGGAGAAGGCGGCACAGGAGAAGGCGGCACAGGAGAAGGCGGCACAGGAGAAGGCGGCACAGGAGAAGGCGGCACAGGAGAAGGCGGCACAGGAGAAGGCGGCACAGGAGAAGGCGGCACAGGAGAAGGCGGCACAGGAGAAGGCGGCTCAGGAGAGGGCGGCTCAGGAGAGGGCGGCACAGGAGAGGGCGGCACAGGAGAGGGCGGCACAGGAGAGGGCGGCACAGGAGAGGGCGGCACAGGAGAGGGCGGCACAGGAGAAGGCGGCACAGGAGAAGGCGGCACAGGAGAAGGCGGCACAGGAGAAGGCGGCACAGGAGAAGGCGGCACAGGAGACGGCGGTTCAGGAGAGGGCGGCACAGGCAACGCCGGGACAGGCAACGCCGGCACAGGCAACGCCAGGACAGGCAACGCCGGGACAGGCAACGCCGGCACAGGCAACGCCGGGACAGGCAACGCCGGCACAGGCAACGCCGGCACAGGCAACGCCGGCAGGAGTGACGCCGGCAGGGAAAACGACAGCTCCGAAGACGGCGGCACAGCAGACGGCGGCACAGGAGGCGGCGGCACAGGAGGCGGCAGCACAGGAGGCGGCGGCACAGGAGGCGGCGGCACAGGAGGTGGCGGCACAGGAGGCGGCGGTACAGGAGGCGGCGGCACAGGAGGCGGCGGCACAGGAGGCGGCGGCACAGGAGGCGGCGGCACAGGAGGCGGCGGCACAGGAGGCGGCGGCACAGGAGGCGGCAGCACAGGAGGCGGCGGCACAAGAGGCGGCGGCACAGGAGGCGGCGGCACAGGAGGCGGCGGCACAGGAGGCGGCGGCACAGGAGGCGGCGGCACAGGAGGCGGCGGCACAGGAGGCGGCGGCACAGGAGGCGGCGGCACAGGAGGCGGCAGCACAGGAGGCGGCGGCACAGGAGGCGGCGGCACAAGAGGCGGCGGCACAGGAGGCGGCGGCACAGGAGGCGGCGGCACAGGAGGCGGCGGCACAGGAGGCGGCGGCACAGGAGGCGGCGGCACAGGAGGCGGCGGCACAGGAGGCGGCGGCACAGGAGGCGGCGGCACAGGAGGCGGCGGCACAGGAGGCGACGGCACAGGAGGAGGCGGCGGCACAGGAGGCGGCAGCACAGGAGGCAGCGGCACAGGAGACGGTGGCATAGGAGACGGCGGCACAGGAGACGGCAGCGCAGGCGAAGACTGGAGAGGAGAAGGTGGCACTGGCGAGAGCGGCACGGGCAAAAGCGGCAGAGGATGCGAGGGCGACTCGGGCCAAAGCGGGACTGGCGAATGAGGCACAGGCTAAGGCGGCATGGGAGAAGATGGCACGAGATCATCGTAACCAGCTGTCGGGGAAAATGGAGCAGCAGGTTGCTGGCCTTGAATGAAACACTTTGCAAGAAGAAGATGGAACAGGAAAGAAGGAAGGAGGAGCAGGAAAGAACATGCTTGGATGTCGGATTCTTTTTATTTGTCAGATGTGAGATCTTTGTATGCTTGTGAGGTCCTGGATGGAGGAGGAAAGGGCTGCAGAAGCAGCAGCATCAGCAGCAGCAGCAGGTTCTAGGATGGTAATGGTCCTGTCTGTATTATTCATAATGTATTATGAGTTGTGCGTTGTGAGTGGGTTTATAAATGGAATAGTAAGTTGGCAGCTGGGTGAAGGAAACGCCTAACTCATGTCTGGCGCCATTGAAAGATGGAACAGGAAAGAAGGAAGCGAAGGTAGCAGGAGCAGGAAAAAACATGCTCAGGTATCGGTTTCGATTGTCCGTCAGATGTGAGATACCCGTATCGCCCCGGATATAGGCGCCGTCCGATTAAAGGCGCCGGCGCTTCTATCTGGAGCATGGCGCCTATGGCCGGAATTCGATTATAAGCGCCCCCCCTAGAAATCCTTTACTTATTATAAGCGCATATGCGATTTGAATTTAAATTCTTGCCTAAAACAGTAACGAAATCCATTTTTGCAGCGAGTCAGATTTCAATTTCGCTTCGTTCGACTCGTGAAGACCTGACTGGCTGCGCGTCCAGTCAGGATGTGCTGGAATGACGTGGCTTTGCCTGTGTGTGAACCCAGAATATCGCTTGTGCTAGATTCTGCATTGTGACGCTAAAACATTTCGACTCGGTTGAAAGGGCAAGAAGAAAATGAACAATTTGGTGCTCTAAAATTATAATTTCGTATTTGTCATTATATAAGCGCCGGCGCTTATGGCCGTTACTCAATTACAAGCGCCCCCCCTCAAAAAAATGATTTTATTATAAGCGCATATGCGCCTATATCCGGGGCCATACGGGTATTTGTATACTTGTGAGGTGCTGATATAGGGGAAGCAATGGCTGCAGAAGCAGCAGCATCAAGTTCTAGGATGGTATGTTGTCTGTATTCCGAGTTTACGACACCAGTACCGGTAAGTTGTGCAATGTGATTGGGATCATGATATGAATGGAACAGTAAAGTGGCAGATGGGTGAAAGAAATGCCTAACACGTGTCTGGTGCCATTGTTGTCGTCACTCATGCTTGGAAGGGGTTGCATTGCTATCAAGTATCAGCACATAGAAGTGAACAGGGTGATAGTTCCCTAGCTCTGCTGCTGCTGAGTTTTCGCTTTGATGCCAAGTCTCGGCAGTTGGATGTTAACAAGTCAGAAAAGGGAGGAAAAGAACGAGGCAGAGATTGCTGCACGGAGCATGGCACATGGCGGTAGGCGTACAATGCATGTGGAACCATGTGTGTGCACGGCGCACAATGCATGGCAGTAGGTGATTGAATTGGAGGTACGGTAAAAGAGGTGTTACCTAGCCCGCACTTCAACACCACAGCCAACAGCCGCTTATTCCTGCCTCTCCTATCATATCCCCACTCCTTTCGACCCCCCAATTTTCTCATACCTCCTTCCCCACTCCTCTTGTACTCCCACCGCTCTCATACCGATATTCTTCATTTCTCTCATACCCCCAACCACTCAAAATTCACAATCCTCTCATAACCCCAACTCCTCTCATAACCCCAACTCCCACTCCTCTCATATCCCTAACTGCCACTCCTCTCGCACCCCTCTCCCACTCCTCTCTCACCCACAGGTGCTCTGCCACACACGAGAATGATGAGATTGGGTGAATGCAGGGAAAACGACAGGCAGGAAAAGGGACTCCTTGGGACAGCATCGCGATGGGGCACCCAGCACCCCCCCATGTGATAAAGGTGAGGTTTTGAGACGTCTCAAAACGGCAGGCAGGTCAAGGGGCTCCTTGGGATAGCATTGCCACGGGGCACCTAGCAACCCCCCACCTCTCGCACACGTCCGCCACGTCAGCAGCTCCCAGGTTGCCCATTATGACCAGTGGGCCCATGCAGTGGGGGTGGAAATCCAGGGGCGGATGTCGGTCAATCCGGGGGACGGGAGTTGGTGTAGAAGAGGCAGGTGCAGCGCTGGGGGAGTGGGGAAAGGGAGTAGAGAGAGGTAACAAGAGTGAACAACACAGTGGTTTGTGAGAGGGGTACGGGAGGCAATGTCGTGGGGGCGTGAGCCTGTGCAGTGCGGCAGAAATCGGTGTTGGAGAAGCAGGTGCTAAGCAGGAGAGCAGGGGAGGGTGGGAGGAGAAGCGAGGGGAAAGGAACAGTGCAATGTTTGTATCACTTTGGTGATATCTCAAGAGGCTACGAGAGAAAGTGCGGACGAAAGGTGGAGAATGAGAGCAGTGGGGCAAAAGTCACCTAGGAGAAACAGGTGCAGAGTTAATATGGGGAGTGGGAGGGAGGGAGTTGGGAGAGGGAGGGAGCAGGGAAGGAGGAAACAGAGCAGCGCCATGGTGGGAAGAGTAGCACAGCACAAGGCTCAGGCGGCGAGCGACACGTGATTCTAAGGATGACTCGGAATCCATGAGGGTTCTGTAAGGCAGGGGACAGGCAGGCCGGGGGTATGTGGACGGCAGGTGGGTAGGCGGGCGGGCAACAAGTGATTCTAAGGATGACTCGGATTCCATGAGGATTCAGGGGACAGGCAGGGGACAGGCAGGAGGCAGGCAGGCAGGGGTCAAGTGGGAGGCGAGGCAGGTGGGCAGGCAGGTGGGCGACATTGTCGTGGAGAAAGGCGTTTGTGATCGACAAGTGCAGGAGAGTTGAGATTATTTTTGAGAATTCTCAAAAGGCAGGCGGGCAGGCAGGTGGCGACAATGTCGTGGAGAAGAGCGCAACGAACGCATTGCATTTGACAAGTGCAGGAAACGCAGGCGCAAATTCTTCGGGGCAATCATTACGTTCCCGGAAGCAGTGCCGCCGGAGGCCGTGCAGCGGAGGGTGGTGTATCATCCCTATGTGGCATGGTAAGGGAGGGATAGGGTAGGGGTAGGGGAGGGTAGGGGAGGGGTAGGGGAGGGGTATGGAGGGTAGGGAAGGGGTAGGGGAGGGCTAGGGGAGGGGTAGGGGAGGAATAGGGGAGGGGTAGGGGAGGGGTAGTAGAGGGGTAGGGAGGGGTAGGGTAGGGGTAGGGGAGGGGTAGGGAGGGGTAGGGAGGGGTAGGGGAGGGGTAGGGGAGGGGTAGGGGAGGGGTAGGGTGGGTAGGGGAGTGGTAGGGGAGGGCAAGGGGAGGGATAGGGAGGGGTAGTGGAGAGGTAGGGGAAAGGGGTAAAGGAAAGGGGAGGGGAGGGAGGGCAAGCGTGAAGGCAGAGTGAAGGGGAGGGGGAGTGGTTGAAGGAGGGGGGAGGGGGTAAATGAAAGGTGAGCGTGCAAGGGGAAAGAGAGGGGGCAAGGGGAGGGATTGAGATGGTTCTGATATTGGT